CCCCCCCCCCCCCCCACTTGCAAACCAAGGATCTTTAAGCCTGGAAAAACCTAAAATGGCCAGCCCCCCCAACCCCTTGACTCTAAGCCCTTAGCCCTCAACACTACTTGGTGGGTCGAGGGACTTAGTAAGTAGGTAATAAGTAGACTTGTAAGTAACCTAAAAGGGATCCTAATAGGGGATATGATACTTATAAGTCTATAAAATCATTACTTACTACGTCCCCCGACCCTCCAGGTAAACCTCAAACTGTTCATACAGGGGCCTTGCAACAACCGTAACCGTCAGACTAGGGTTTTGGGGTATGCCAGGTATAGCCTCAGAACAAGCAGGACCCCCAGGAGCAATATTACTCCGGCTTCTATCCCTTAACCCAAAATAACCCAAAACCCCAGAACCCTAAACCTTAAATAACCCTAAACAGTAAACCCCAAAACCCTAAACAGCAACCCCAAAACCCTAAACCCAAAACCCCCAAACCCCCAAACCCCTAAACCCCTCAAACCCCCAAAACCCCCAAACCCTAAACCCTAAGCCCCGAAACCCCGAAACCCCTAAGCCCGAGGCCCCGAAACCCCGAAACCCCGAAACCCAAGCCCGAGGCCTCAAAACCCTAAGACCGAGGCCCCGAAACCCCGAGACACGCCCAGCTGCGGGATGGTTGGGTTCAGTGTCCCGAAGACCACGCCTGTTAGGGGTTTGGGGGTTTAGGGTTTAGGGTTCATAGGGTTTAGGGTTTAGGGCTTTGTGGGTTTGGGGTTTAAGGGTTTCGGGGTTTAGGGGTACAAGAAGGCCCGGCGTTTAGGGTACAAGAAGGCCCGGGGTTCTTTGAGGAGTGTTGTTGGGTTTCTAAACGATATAGGGATGATTTAGGGGATCCAGAGGCGGGCTTTCTGCTTTTATAAAGGGTTCTTTGGGGGCTGGACTCTAGAACTCTGAGTCTTAGTTGTAAAGGTTTTAAGGTTTACAAAACAAATGCCGCTTTCGGAATAGGGAGGTTTCGGGTCCGCGTGCAGGTGGTAGTTCCAGACGGAAGCAAAGACGTATCTAAAGAGGATTGGGTTAATCTCCTTTTCCTTGCTTCGCATGGAGAGACGCAGGGAGGAAGTCTTGGGCCGTCTGTCACCATCTGCCCAGTTTATTCAACGGATGTGGTCTGGGCGGACGTTATCTCATGGAAGCTTTGGGGAACCGGTGAAGTCTGCATGAAGCCTGGGTGGGCGACATCACGGCTGGCAGATGGGGAACGGAACAGGTCTGTGTGGACGTTATTCTGCTTAGCCCGTACATGCTCTGGGGAGCGAACGAAGCCTAATGCAGGGGCCTTAATAATTAGAATCGGGCTTTGGGGGGTATATTATACTATGATCATAATAATCATAATGAGCCCCAAAAATAGTATTGGTAATTATTAAGGGCCCGATATTAAGTGGAAGTTATCATGGTTGGCGCATGATGCACCTGGGCAAACAGGAGACGACGAGGGCTTTTAACTTGCCTGCTTCCTTTTAAAACCCAGAAACTCCATATATAGTACCATTATGGAATTAGGTCCCTCAAACCTGGTCACGGCGTCAACCGTGA